AAAAAGTTATGTGACTTTGAAAAGTCGACGGCTCGCGCTGTTTATAAGAAAGTAGTATCGTACGGTAGTATCGAATATTGCACCTATGATGAAATGAAATGAAATGGGGTTTAACGTCCTACTGTTCTGCTCCCATGCTGGGCTAATGAAGACGGGCATACGCCATACAGTGTGCTATGAGAGAAATTTTGCCCGGGCAGCGGCACTATCGCCTACTCTTATATCGAATTCCAACTGCCAAGGGATCTTTTACGTGCATTCCAATGTATACACGGGACCTCGGTTTTTCGTATCATCCGAAGGACTAGACAGCTTTTCTTGTCAAGCCCTCCGTCCTGCATCACTGACAAGGGGAAACCACGCCGGAAAATCTGGATGAACTTTCTCGGCCAATGCAGGGATCGAACACCCGACCTCCAGGCTAGCGAGCAAGCGTCTAACCCACTTAGCCACCGTGATCCCCGCACCTATGATGAAAGGCATGACGTTGTTTGAGCATGGACTCTATCTGTAATTAATATTAAATTTTTATTAGTGACGTCAAATCTTTAACGTGCACGAAACCAGAAAATTGGCGATATTTCATTGAATATTCAATCAATTTTTGAACCAGTTACATTTTTGAGTAGCTGACATGAACGCGATTCCGAAGTCCCGTGTACATATTGGTGTGACCGTAAAAGATCCCTTGTCGGTTCGAATTCTATATAAAAGAAGACTAGCGCCGCTGTACGAGCATGTTTAGAGGTCTTTTTGTCAAAAAGGCAATCTAATATATTTTGGGGAACTCCTTCTATAGAGAAAGTAATTGATATATATATGCGCGTAGGGGTCTGTAGTAGTGGGAGGAAAACGAAGGACCCGGAGAAAACCCACGAGGTTGGACAGGCGACCCTACTTGTCACGTACAACCGGATAATCGAAACCCCACCAGTTGACTCAATGACAGACTGTATGATACAGCGCAATCCCAAAGGCTAGCCTACCGTGCAAATTCCAGCCAGCATAGTGTATCTATATAAGAGACATTTATTCCTACTGGCGATTTACAAATATTGCATGAAGAAATTCAAATCATAAGAACATAAACACGACTAATACACAGTATCATATTGATTATAAAAGTACAATGTATATATTGGTTACACTATATCTGTTACAAAACAACAATCATTAGATAATAATAATTATTTACTAATTATATAAATCATTTTAAGAGTTAGGAGTTATCCGTTGTTTAATTTAACAGTTATACAATTACCCTGGTTAGAAAGATACGAACACCTATTTCTGAAACGTCGGGACCATGAAGTCGACGGACCAAACCAGTCCATGAACTATAAATGAAAATCCTCTAATCACCGAAAGTGGTCAAGAAAGGTATTCAAAATTTGACAAAATTCTGAAAAATGGGTGCCTGTGCGCCAAATGCGATGTATCAATTGGTTGTTTACCGAGTACTTAAAGTATTATGTCGTATGATAACCACGTGAATTATCTACGAGATGGTGCTATAGCAACAAGATTTTATTGCCAACTAAAACATTTATGGGTCTTTGAAAAGTAAGGTTATTTACGATTTCGATCAAGTTTAAACCCATGTTTCTCAGAAAAGCCGCCAATGATTTTTTTCAAACTTGCTCAATCGAGATTCTACTGGGTAGTGTATTGTGTGAAACCCTTGTACAATATGAAACTAAGGACATTGAAAAACTTCAGCAAGAAGACTATATCATTAAAAGGGTTCTACATTATTTAGTAAATAACAGAAAACCAACTCGTCAAGAAAGAAGAAATGAATAAAAAATGGTAACTGACATGCTTCGTCAGAGAGATAGATTTTTGATTGAGAACGGTATTCTTTACAGACAAGTTCTAGATCCTCAACATGGACAATTGAAACAATTGGTTGTACCTAAGTGCCTACAAGTTAAAGTGATATCGTATCTTGATAATCAAGCTGGACACCAGGGAGTGGAACGTACTACTAATCTGATAAGATCAAGGTTTTATTGGACTGGTTTATTCAGTGATGTCATTGATTACTGTAGAAACTGTGAACGATGTGTTTTGTCAAAAATGCCAAATCCTCGTGTTAAAGTTCCCATGGGTCACTTATTAGCTTCTCGTCCGAATGAAATAGTTGCCATAGACTACACTCTGATAGATACGGCAAGCGATTGGCGTGAAAATGTACTTGTCATGACCGATGTGTTTTCGAAATTCACTGTAGCAGTCCCAACGCGCAATCAAACAGCTGTCACAACTGCTTACGTTCTAGTTCGCGAATGGTTTCAGAAATATAGATACCTGAAAGATTACACTCTGATCAAGGTCGGAATTTCGAAGGGAATTTGATAGCTGAACTTTGTAGAATCTACAAAATCAAGAAAAGCAGAACCACACCCTATTTCCCTCAAGGCAATGGGCAATGTGAACGCTTTAACCGCACTTTACATGATCTTTTACGATCACTGGATCCTCATGATAAGAAACGATGGCCACAGCACTTATCCGAATTAGTTTTCATGTATAATACCACAATTCATGCAACCACAGGGTTTACTCCTTTTCATCTTATGCATGGTAGACACCAAGGTTACCTGTCGATTTATTGTTTAATACAGAGAACAATAGCACTTCTGATTATGTTCCAGTAAGTGAATATGTCCAAAATCATATTCAAAAGTTAAAATTGGCATACAGAAAAGCAGGGGAGCGTCTACAGAGAGAAGCAGAAGATAAAAAAGGAGAAATGAACCTAAACAAAATCGGTGTGTATATAGTTTAGAATAAGGAACCCTTGTTTATTTGCGCAATCGAGTAATTGGTCGTAATAAAATTCAGGATGCATGGGACCCAACAAAATATGTTATTGTGAAACGCATTGATCCAGATAGGCATATATACAGTATTAAGCCGGTTAACGGAACCGAGTGTAAAATAGTGAACCGTGTCAATATTAAGCCCTGTCAGTCTGGATGTGAAATAGATATTGATGATACGTGTAATAGGCAGAATCATGATAATGTTTCAAATCAGACAATTGTGATATTAGTGATAAGATTAATACTAATAATAGCCAAGTCTCTAAAGACATGTATTATGATTCGTCATCAGAAGATGAATATGTTGTGATAGTGGACGGGGCAGCTGATAATCTTAATGAAAGAACTCTTAATCCCTCTACTTCTCACAGTAATGCACAAGAGACATTTGACCATTGTCAAAATGACTTCAGTGTCGACGGTGAATGGAACTGTGCCCCAAACACCCTGTATGATACAGGTACATGTACACAACTGCGCAGGAGTACTAGATCTACAGCTGGAACTCACCAAAATCCATACCATTTACCCAAATCTGTCATATGAGACTAGATTGTGTAAAAACGTTTAGAGCTTTGAACTATTTAGCCTTTTCATATTGTTAACTGTATTTTTACATTTATGATCTGATTTCAATTTGCATTTTACCTGTTTATGTAACAGGGACGTTACTATGTTTAGCAGGGGAGAATGTGACCAAGTGATCAAGTCACAAAATTATAGTCTTGCTTGAACCGGTCGGATGTCACATGTTGCCTCACTTTCACATGTCCGCCATTTTATTATCAAACTTGTAGCAACAACAGTTTTGGAACGCCCAGTCAGAGGTGATTTAACAATGTTTATTTTGTATATTTTATTCGCTTTTAATACTATTAACTAAGACCTGTACAGGTAGATTTATATTTGTAGTGCAAATACTTAATATTAAGTCAATATATTCTCATTTATTGAAAGAAGCACTCAACTCATGTCCCGCGCTGTTCACGATCTTTGACCTATGTCAGATTTGTTGATTTATGCAGAATTGGTAATAGTTTGTATGACAATTGTTGTTTTCTGCTGTCATACAAGATTCTAAATAATGTAGGTTGTTTGTTGATGAGGGTTAATTGTGATATTAGATGGTATTTTATTTATCCTGAAGTCATATGTAAAGACATGTTATGAATTGAAAGCCATGCGTTTTATGATTGAGGGGAGACAACTCTTCTATGACTCCTGTTTCATCATTAGCCATGTGTTTGGAATTTGTAGTATACAGGCTTAAATAGGCAGGTTACCGGTGTGCATGTCGTATAGTTACTTGTTGAGTGTAATTCTCAATATTTATTTGAATCCCGAAATAGTCAATTAATTATTAATAGTATAATGGTGTTAGGTTTTTGACTTTATGTGCATGTAAATGTCAAAGGGTTTTCAAGCACTCTATACAGGGACATGAGGCATCTGCAGCAATTAATGTTTGTCAACCCTCCTTCACATTGTTGGATTATGTAAATATTTGTTAACAAATTAAGAGCTTTGGGTGGCCGAATGGTCTGACGCATGAGCTTGGATCATATGTTCTGTCAATGACTCGGGTGGCATGCTTTGGATCATGCACTTGTACATGTATGTGACAGGATTGGGGTCGTCTGCCTAACCTCGGGGGTTTTATCAGGGCATTCTTGTTCCTACAAATGTACCATTGTTAAGATCCCCTATGTGCAGGTGAATTTATAATGCGTGTCCTGGAATGGCCTAGATCATGTTGAGCGGTTGTTAGCCCCATCTCTTTTATCAAGTCAACTTCATGATGTAACAAATTTATTAATGTTTGGTTTTTTTTTGTACTTTCAGGGTTGTTACCTCCACCCTTTTTTTTGTATGATTAATAGATTTAAAAATTAAATCTTATTGTATTGACAACATGTTTTTTTGTTAATTCCCCTTGGTCACATTAGGAAAGTCATTTTTCGAAGAAAACTATTAAACCAAATAACAAGAAAAATATAATAAACAAATAGAAAAGAATCAAATAAAAAAGAAATATCTTTATTTTTATTCAGAAGGCAGTAGAATCCCTTGTCATAAAAGTATAATTGAAGGGAAATAACTCCAGTTTTCACTGGGAAATCTGAATTATGCCTCAAAAGAAAAAGTCGAAAGCCATTTTGAATTTGAAGACGTTTGCAAAAAATAATAAAGTTAAGAGTGATATGACAGCAAAAGAATTATCAGGTACCAATGGTGAAAATACAGCAGAAAAATGTTTACAGACTATGAGGTAATGAAACTTCAGGTAGGAAGGAAATAGTAAGTCCAAGGTAAATAATTATAAATATGTTTATGGTAGTTTTCATCAGGCAGATGTAAGATTTGGTGTATTTAGTGGCACACAATGTACTGGAAATTCTTTAGTTGCTGTTTTATTTTCTTGTATTAAATCTGTTCATATCTGGAATACAAATGACTTGGATAAGATTTTAATAGCTGGTAATGAATTGTATAGTTTTTTGCAATCTTCTTCATCAATGCATAATAGGTATATTTTGATATCTGAATTGCCTAGAAGTCTTATTGTGTTTGAAAAACTGTTTAATATAGATATTCAGCTGGATTCTGTAGTAGGACTGGTGCGAACTGGAGACAGTACTTTTGAATATAATGAAATATCTATGACATTGTATGAAGCTTTGCAGACATGTCTTTTACAATATGAGTCATGCTTTATAACTTTTGGTGGTAATACTTTTGTAATCATGAAAAGAAATGAAATGTATTATATAGCCATTCCATAAATTCAGTGGGTCTATTAACTACAGATGGAACATCAGTGCTGATTGAATATAAAGGTATTATAGATGTTTATACACACTGCTGTAATTTAGCTAAATCAATGGAAATCGGTATGAATACACGGTTTGAAGTAACAGGTATAAATGTCATTAATGATGCCATACATGAACATGATGAATTATCAATTAATGAAAATAGTAGTGAAATTTGCAGTGATAAAGTCTTAAATGAAATAGGTGGTGATGTATTTTTATCTCATGTTGAAACAAGCAATTTTTTCTTTCATACATTGGGTTTAGATGAGCAAATCAGAATATGTACACAACTTAATATTGTAAATAGACTTGACAGTAATTATAGTAATCGAAATAGATGCCCAATCAATCAACCATCACAAATTAAAAGTATAACTGGAGATGGTAATTGTTATTTTAGATCAGTATCATATGCAATATCTGGCACAGAAGTGAATCATAGAATTGTCAGGTTAGCTGTTGTTAATCATTTAAAAAACAATGCAGCTATTTTTACTCCATATCTTAGAGCTGGCTTTTTGTCTGTTGATGACTATTTAAAAAGATCCAGAATGAGATATTTAGGGTCATGGGCTACAGAACTTGAAATATATGTTTGTGCTGATTTATTACAAGTAGATATATATACCTATAGTAGTAATAGGTGGCTGAAATTTTCTAAATTACAGATATTGGATAATGGGTCAAATAGTATTGAGGGAATTTATATTAACCATGCCAATCAGGTTCACTATGAAGTAGTACTGAATGTTGCATCGTCTAATAGAAGTAATGATAATGATGTACAGTCGCAAGGTAAAAGTTTTGATAAAGATATTGATCATGATAATGACATCCCTATAAAACCAGATGAAACAGAATTAAAAGTCTCTACAAAACAAAAGTGTAGAAAACGTAAGCGAAGGGGAAACAATTGGAATTCTAGAAAGAAATACACATATATGACACAACTTGATACTGACAAAATAATGGACAAACAGAAATCTGAATATGATAGATATTGGACATTTATAAGAAAAGAACATTCTGTCAGATCAGGTGTAATGTATAGAGGGAATAGAACAAATAGAAGGCGATTTAAATACAAATATAATACAGATTATAAATTTAAGCAAATTTGTAAGTCAAGAAGGAATATGAACTATAGATTAAAGAATGAATATGATAATATTTGTGATAAATTGAATCATAAATACAAATTCAGTCAAATATTCAAAGATAATTTAATCAAGAAGAACAAAGAAAGGTATAGGTTAAATAATGATTACAGAGAGAAATTGAAGAAATATGGAATTATGAAATATAAATCTAATAGTATGTATCGAGACCACCTTAAATCTATTAGTAGTGAGAAATACAAAACAAATACAGAATTTCAGGTACATGTTAAAGCTCAAAGTAAATGCAAATATGAAACAAATGAAGAATTTAAGTCATATGTTAAAGAACAAAGTAAATATAAATATGAAACAAATGAAGAATTTAATACAACCGTAAAAGAACAAAGTAAATACAATTATAAGACAAACAAACAATTTCAGTCTCATGTTAACTCCAGAAGTCAAATTAAGTATAGATCTGATAAAAACCATAGAGATGTTATCAAAAAACAAAACAAAGAAAGGAAAGAAAAATAGAAATGAGTAAAATAGATATTGTTATCAATGATTTCAAAAAGGTAAAAAAAGATGGCCCAGAATATATCTGTTGTGTGTGTCATAGATTGTTATTTAATAATTGTTATTTAATAATCAAGTAGGGGGGTTGGATGGCTGAATGGTTAGCATGCGCGCGCTGTATCATAAAGTCTGTCATTGAGTCGACTGGCGTGGTTTCGAATCCACGGTTGTACGTGGCAAGGAGTAGGGTCGCCTGTCCAACCTCGTGGGTTTTCTCCGGGTCATCCGGTTTCCTCCCACTGCTAAAGACCCCTACGCGCAAGCGAATTATGTAAATAAAATTAAACCATATGTTAGTCCCGAAATGACCTAGTTTGTGTCGAGTGGACGTTAAACCCCATTTCTCTCTCTCTAATAATCAAGTAACTTGTAATGAAAAACTTTATAAATCTGCCAAAGTTAAACAGATAGCAAGTGAATGTATATCTAAGAAATATTTATGACTGTTCAAACACATGCCAAAATGAATGTGCTCATCCTGAAAGTTGTAACATGTGACAGAAAAATTAAATCAGGAAAGAAGCCACAAGAATCAATGACTAATAATTTAGATCCTGGTCAATTAGTTGATGAGCTAAAAGCACTGAATTCATTAGAAACTCACTTGGTATCACTACATATTCCTTTCATGAAAATGATTAATTTATCAAAATTCAAACAACATAAGGTTTCTGAAGCTACAGTTTGTGTACCATCTAATATAAGCAAAACAACCAGTATTTTGCCAAGAATTGAAAGTGACACCCAGCTGATCAGGATAAAACTTAAAAGGCGTAAAACCCAAAAAGGTTATTATCAATATCAATACATAAGTAAGAAAAAAATGAAAGATGCTTTACATTATCTTAACATAATAATAAATATTATTCAGATATAGAATTTAATGATGGGTGGGTTGATATTTCAGACATAGATGAGGTGTTAGAGTGAAATAACTCTGTTTTAGAAGGCTTGGCTTCATACCATTCAGATTATGAAAAAGACGAGTTACCTGACATAGATATAAAAGACAATGCTTTACCTGAGATAGATGAACAAGGTGACTTACCTGACATAGATGTTGAAGAAGAGAAATCAAATGGCCCAGAATTAGCTACATGTTTACAACCTCTTGACATTGTAAGTGAAACATTAGATAATCATTTTGATAGTATACTATTCAAAAAAAGTAGGGGATATTTGATTTTGGGGGCATAATACTAAAATATGCAAATGACTACAAAAAAAGTCACTATAGAACCTAACAGAAGAAACATTTCCAGTTACATGTGACGCCCAAACGCACCAATAGCTACCGCATGGAATGCAGGTGATGCTTGGGATCATCATGGGGGTCCAACCCAAGATTTGCACGACTCTGACTTTGAATGTTACAGTCATTGTGGCATTGAATTCCAGGGTGGAAACATCAGTTTAATTGTTTTAGTGACCAGAAAACAAATTTTGATATGCGTCGGCTTACCCAAAATGAAAGGTTACGTGCCCTTGGCATGCTACAGATCGGCACAACACAGGCGGTTGTGGCGCGGACGATGAATGTTTCTCAGTCTGTCATAAGCAGGCTATGGTCCAGATACCGTGATACACAATCTGTACAGGACAGACCACGCTCAGGTCGACCAAGGGCGACAACTCAAGCCCAGGATCGATTTATCCGTACCTTGGCCTTGAGAAATCGTGTCATCACAGCAAATCAGATCAGCGCTCGTCTTCAAACAGACACTGGTGTGAGAGTGAGTGGCCAGACGATTCGGAATCGACTGCATAGGGGTCACCTTCGCGCCCGACGTACTCGCGTGATCCCTTGTTTGAGAGATCATCACATTCAGGCAAGACGTCGTTGGTGTAGGGATCGTCAACACTGGGATAATCGACGCTGGAGCAATGTGATGTTTTCAGATGAGTCAAGGTTCACTGTTGATTTTTTGGACAGACGTAGGAGGGTGTGGCGTCGTCGAAACGAGCGCTTCCAAGACGTTAACGTCATCAGACATGATCGATTTGGGGGTGGTTCTGTTATGGTGTGGGGAGGCATCACTGTTGCTGGAAGAACGGCTTTACATGTTGTTGCAGGGCGTGTTACAGGCCAGTACTACCGGGACAACATCTTGGCAGTCCATGTTGTGCCGTTCGCACGACGTCATGGCCGCCGTTTCATCTTCCAGGATGACAACGCAAGATGTCACAGGGCCAGGATCGTTACAGGTTACCTCCAACAACAGAACATCACCACATTACCTTGGCCAGCACTGAGTCCCGACCTCTCCCCCATCGAGCATGTCTGGGACATGCTTGGACAGAGGTTACGTCAACGTCAACAACGTCCTGCCAATGTCCAAGAACTTGCTGCTGCGTTGCAACAGGAATGGGACAATCTGGACCAAAATGACCTTAGACGTCTCATTAGGAGTATGTCACGTCGGATCAATGCTTGTTTGGCAAACAGAGGAGGATTTACCCGTTACTGACTTGGTTGTGATGCTGTGGTAACTTTGCTGTTTGACCCCGGGTATCATTTTACCCTTATAATGGTCAGTCTGTGCCTTACTTAGTCTAACGATCATTTGGAATAAATCGATGAATGTGAACTTCATTTCATTTTGTCATTTGTTTCTTCGTCAGTTTCATTAGGTGACTTTAATAACACTTAAAAATCAAATATCCCCTACTTTTTTTTGAATAGTATATATTTTCTATTTCTCCTGCTGAAGGTAATAGTCCTGTTAGAATATTAACTGATGAAACTAATGAAGCCAAATGTTTTCCAACACTTTTTCCTAATGGCACTGCTACATACCATGATAACCATGAAGAGAGAATAACTTTGTCACGATATTTAAATTGTCGATTGATGAATGCTGACAATAGATTTGCACAAAACACAGACTACATATTTTATTCCCAGTATCTTTCTGAATTAAGTCAAATTGTATCAAATGTGTCTATTGCCTTGCGAAAAGGAAAAAGTGGTTTAAATAACTTAAATAAGATAACATCAGACATGTTGACAACAAAAGAGCCATTGAAAAATATTTTCAGAAATGATGAGGGCTATAAATTTATGACTCCTATTAGAGGTACGCCTCCTTATTGGCAGAGTACACAGAAAGGATTATTTGCAATGTTAAGACAACTCGGGATTCCAACTTTTTTTTCTACCTATTCGTATAGCGAAATGCGAGGTGGCGATGTAATAGAATGTATTTTGAAACAGCAAGGCGACAATAGAAAGGCTTGTGACTTAGATTGGGCTGAAAAATGTGAAATACTTAGAAGTAATCCTATTACTACTGCTAGAATGTTTGACCATAGGTTTCACTATTTTCTAAAGCATGTTATTATGTCAGATGCTGAACCAATCGGTAAAGTAATTGATTATTTCTATAGACTAGAATTTCAAGCACGTGGAACGCCTCATGCACATTGTTTATTTTGGATTGAGAATTCACCTAAAATTGATGAAGATAATGATGAAGATGTTGTTCATTTTATAGATAAATATATATCATGTGAATTGCCTGATAAAGATCATGACCTAGACTTACATGAGATTGTTAATAGTGTGCAAAGACATAGTTATAAACATACAAAAACTTGTAAGAAAAAAAAAAGGGTTTGAAGATTTAATTTTCCTAGGCCACCATCAAAACAAAGTTTCATATGTCGTTCAATAGATGATTATGATACAAACATTCCAGAACAAAATGAAGATGAAAATGGAGACAATATATGTGTCAATGATAAAATGACTCGGAACACAGCAAAAAGTCTTCTTGAAGCATTATGGAAAGCATTATCAGATAAAAAGAAAAATTATAGTTCTATTGATGAATTATATAATGATTTTGGTATGACACAGGAATTATTTCAGAAAGCATGTGAGGTGTTATCAAAGAAAAATAATGTTATATTAAAACGAAACCCGAAAGACGTATGGATAAATCCTTATAATCCAAATTTGTTACGAGCTTGGGATGCAAACATGAATATACAATATGTATTTGATGCCTATTCTTGTATAGTTTATATAGTTTCATATATATCGAAATCGGAACGTGAAATGGGCTTAGTCTTATCAGATGCACAAGAAGAGGCTAAAGACGGAAATTTGACAGCAAAAGAAAGTTTAAAGAAAATATCAAGTACATACCTACATTGTAGAGAAGTTTCTGCACAAGAAAGTGCTTATAGAGTATGTAATTTAAAGGCGTTTTTGTGAACCGATTAGATTAGACCGATTAGCTATTATACGCATTTGTGAACCAAGTTGATTATGCTAATCGTTACATTTGTGAGACGATTTAACTCAACTGATTAGGCAAATCGACCTAATCGTCCCAGGAGGTGTTTAGGCGATTAGATTTGACGTTTTCAAAATGGCGGAATGTTCGACATCGTAAGTAATTTTTAATGCTTATTGTTGTTTTTCTCCATAAAAAATGTTTTTTTAAAACGCATTTGATGTGTTTAAAGTAGCTAAATCTCTAACTCAATACCATCCAAAATCTTCAACATTGAAAATACGATTTATTTGTCAAATTATATCAACATTCATGTTGCGATCGTAACGGGAAAAGATGGGCTTTTGATATCCAATATTTAAGACAAAATAAACATTTTACCATTGGTACACTAATCGTGTACCATAATGCGCTTCAGCCCCAGTTGTATCAAGAGACTCGAGGGACGAGGCTAGACACATTGCACCAATGTGTAAACTGGAATAACCAGACGTGGCGCTAGAAATTTGCACTCGCTTGAGACTGCTGGCTTATTTCGCCGAACATAACGGATTTGAAATTGGAGTAAAAACGGAAACCATTGAATGTAAATCAGTTTATATACATTCATATTACAGTATTATATGCATTGCGACCCACTTTTGTCAATTTCTAGGTCCCAAATGTTAGCGATTTAGCTCCTTTAATGTTAACTTTATAGTCCACAAGAATGTTAGATCACCTCTGGCTCTAAGCAATTTTAGGCCCTCTGGGTGCCAGCAGTGTCACTGTAATCTGTAGGTAACTTGGACTACACGTGAAACACACGCCCCCCTCGTCATGTTAGCAGAGACAATTTTTTTTTCTGATCGGTGTCCGTGATGGCAGCCATCTTACCAAATCGTAATTATCAAATTTCACATTTGTGGACCATAGCTAATCAAATCGAAATCATACCAAATCGTACTAGCAAATCAAAACCTAATCTAATCGACTCACAAAAACGCCTATAGATTACGAGAATCATCTCGAAAGGTTCAGTTTATTACAACTGGGGAAAATAATGTCAGACTTACATTACCTTTAAAAATTCTACAGAGTAAATCAAAAGAAGGAGCTTTGAGTGATGAAAATATGTTTATGACCAGTATTATAGATAGATATAAAGCTCGACCGAAGACAGAACAGTTCAATAATATGTGTTTGGCTACATTTTGCTCAGAATATCGAGTTATGTCCAAATCTGAAAGAATTAATGAAAATTCTGAAAAAAAATCCAGCATATAAACTTTAGGCTATATCATTAAACGAACAAGATCTAAACCAGCTGTAATTCGGTATGCCAGATTCTCAATATCAAAGGATCCAGAAAAATATTATCTAAGTAGTTTACAACTATTTTTACCACATCGTATAGATAAACAGTTAAAACCAATAGGGTTTGAGACGCATGAAGCATTTTACAAATCTGGTTCAGTTAAAATATGTAAAAAAACTGAAGATGTCAAAGATATTGTTGATAGTAATCGTAAGTCATTTGAAAAAGATAAAGTAAACATTGACGCTGCTACTGACATAATTGAAAAATGTGGATCAAACTTAAAAGATGCTTGGTCATCATTGGATATAGAAAATCAAGTTGATAATCTTGAATGTCTTGATATACCAGATGAGGATATACACGATGATGGTGAGGAAATTCAAAATACCGAATTTGATAGGGAACAGAAAAAACAACAAAAATGACAAAAAGGAATCATACAATACTATTGTAAGTAGAACAGAAGCTATACCCATGTTAAGATCACTGAGTAAAATACAAATGGATGTATTTTATAAAGTAAGAGAATTTTGTTTGAACAAGATACATAGGAAAAATCCAGAACAATTTATGTTATTTTTGTCTGGAGGAGCTGGGACTGGAAAAAGCTATGTTATTAAGAGTATATACTATGAAGCTAATAGATTATTATCTCAAATAACAGATAATCCAGATGAACAGACAGTGCTTATTGTATGTCCAACTGGAGTCTCGGCAATGAATTTAGGCTGTAGCACCATTCATTATTCCTTAAAGATTAGAATTGATATAAAGATACCCTATGTTGGACTAGGATTAGACAAGATAAATAGTTTGAGAGCTGATTTAGGTCATTTACAAATACTTATTATTGATGAGATTTCTATGGTTAGCCCAAAGTTATTATGTTATATCCATGGAAGGCTTCGACAAATAAAACAGTGTGCTGACTTTACACCTTTTGGAAATGTTTGTATAATAGCTGTAGGAGATTTCTATCAATTACCACCTGTAAAAGCAAAACCACTGTATAGAAATACTGATGACCTTACCAATTTGTGGCAGAATAATTTTAAAATTGTTGAATTACAAGACATAATGAGACAAAAAGACGATTTGACTTTTGCACAAGCTTTGAATAGAATTAGAAAAAAGCAGAAGGGTGAATCTCTGTCCAAAAGATGTTAGTTTGTTTAAAAGCCGACAAATTGAAGACTATGATGAAAATGTTCTACATATATATACTATTCAAAAAAAAGTAGGGGACATTTGATTTTGGGGGCATAATACTAAAATATGCAAATGACTACGAAAAAAGTCACTATAGAACCTAACAGAAGAAACATTTCCAGTTACATGTGACGCCCAAACGCACCAATAGCTACCGCATGGAATGCAGGTGATGCTTGGGATCATCATGGGGGTCCAACCCAAGATTTGCACGACTCTGACTTTGAATGTTACAGTCATTGTGGCATTGAATTCCAGGGTGGAAACATCAGTTTAATTGTTTTAGTGACCAGAAAACAAATTTTGATATGCGTCGGCTTACCCAAAATGAAAGGTTACGTGCCCTTGGCATGCTACAGATCGGCACAACACAGGCGGTTGTGGCGCGGACGATGAATGTTTCTCAGTCTGTCATAAGCAGGCTATGGTCCAGATACCGTGATACACAATCTGTACAGGACAGACCACGCTCAGGTCGACCAAGGGCGACAACTCAAGCCCAGGATCGATTTATCCGTACCTTGGCCTTGAGAAATCGTGTCATCACAGCAAATCAGATCAGCGCTCGTCTTCAAACAGACACTGGTGTGAGAGTGAGTGGCCAGACGATTCGGAATCGACTGCATAGGGGTCACCTTCGCGCCCGACGTCCTCGCGTGATCCCTTGTTTGTGAGATCATCACATTCAGGCAAGACGTCGTTGGTGTAGGGATCGTCAACACTGGGATAATCGACGCTGGAGCAATGTGATGTTTTCAGATGAGTCAAGGTTCACTGTTGATTTTTTGGACAGACGTAGGAGGGTGTGGCGTCGTCGAAACGAGCGCTTCCAAGACGTTAACGTCATCAGACATGATCGATTTGGGGGTGGTTCTGTTATGGTGTGGGGAGGCATCACTGTTGCTGGAAGAACGGCTTTACATGTTGTTGCAGGGCGTGTTACAGGCCAGTACTACCGGGACAACATCTTGGCAGTCCATGTTGTGCCGTTCGCACGACGTCATGGCCGCCGTTTCATCTTCCAGGATGACAACGCAAGATGTCACAGGGCCAGGATCGTTACAGGTTACCTCCAACAACAGAACATCACTACATTACCTTGGCCAGCACTGAGTCCCGACCTCTCCCCCATCGAGCATGTCTGGGACATGCTTGGACAGAGGTTACGTCAACGTCAACAACGTCCTGCCAATGTCCAAGAACTTGCTGCTGCGTTGCAACAGGAATGGGACAATCTGGACCAAAATGACCTTAGACGTCTCATTAGGAGTATGCCACGTCGGATCAATGCTTGTTTGGCAAATAGAGGAGGATTTACCCGTTACTGACTTGGTTGTGATGCTGTGGTAACTTTGCTGTTTGACCCCGGGTATCATTTTACCCTTATAATGGTCAGTCTGTGCCTTACTTAGTCTAACGATCATTTGGAATAAATCGATGAATGTGAACTTCATTTCATTTTGTCATTTGTTTCTTCGTCAGTTTCATTAGGTGACTTTAATAACACTTAAAAATCAAATATCCCCTACTTTTTTTGAATAGTATATTTGCTACTAATGCCCTTGTTGATGAACATAACACAAAAATGCTGGGAAAGCTATGCGACAGCCTGATTCGTATTGATGCAGATGACTTCTCAAAGGAAGAAAGATCAGGTAAAATGGTTAAGATAAATACAGTTACATCAAAAGATGTAGATACTTGTTTAAGTAATGTATTAAATATTGCCGAAGGTGCAAGAGTTTTACTAACTAAAAACCTGGATGTATCAGATGGATTATGTAATGGTGTATTTGGTTATGTTCGTCATATTGCCTTTGATAAAGATGAACATGCGAAACTGATTTATGTAGAATTTGATAATAAAAAAGTTGGAGCCAAAGTTCGAAAAGAGACAGTTTTACCAGAAAATGTACAAAGTGATTGCATTCCATTTGGCAGACAAGAGGAAAAAATAAATTACCGCAATGACATAAGGCGTCAATTCCCACTGAAACTGGCATATAGCTGTTCTATTCATAAGACACAAGGTATGACGATGTCTAATATATTTGTTTCATTACAAAAAGTTTTTGCGGCTGGTCAAGCGTATGTGGCGTTATCTCGCGTTACATCTTTGAATGGACTTGTTGTTAAAGATTTTAATGAGAAGCTTATATATTGTGATAAGGCTATAGCAGATGCATTGAATGAAATGCCCCTTTATATTGAACCAACTAATGAAGGACGTTCAGCAACTGTGATAATTCTCCGTAATATACAAGGTTTAAACTCACATTTTGAAGATTTAAAAAATGACAATAGATTTACTGAGTGTGATTATATATGTTTAACCGAAACTTGGCTAAATGAGGTTGAAGGCAGAAATTTTGAACTGAATGATTTTAGTTTACACAATAAATCAAGACAAGTATCTTATGATAATTCTCAGAATTTTACAGAATTAAAAAACACACTCCATGGTGGGGTTGGCTTATATTACAGAAAGAATAGAATATGTCATTTATATAATTTAGGTGTATTTAATATTGAGCATATCACATTTGGTTTACCAGAGATAAATCTGACTATAGTTGTCATATACAGGCCACCATGTTATAAAACTGATTTATTTATTACATATTTACAGAAATTATTAGATGAACTTGATGACTTTGGAAGTAGTGTTATGATAATGGGTGATTTTAATGAAGATATTTTAAAAGGTAAAGCTGGTATACAACAATGTATGGAGAGGAATTTTTATAAGCAGTGTGTCACAGAAATTACAACTGATGGAAATACTATTTTAGATCTTATTTTTGTGAAGAATTTTAATGTCAGTACTTTAAAACTAAGAATATTGCAAACATATTTCAGTTATCATAATGCAATTGCTATTGGAATAAGTTGAATAATGAAATTGATGAAGATAAAGTTAGATAAATGAAAGTGATGAAGACAAGATTAAATAAATGAAATTGATAAACGCAAAGATAAAGAAATGAAATTGATGAAGACAAAAAGTACTGATGATACTTATTAACGATGCATTATGTATACAGCCAGGACTGTCTTTTGGCCTCAGATGTTATATAAATAATTAGGCATTTATTCACATGACAAGCCCATATTCAACTCTCTGGAACATCAGATGGTTGTGATTTTGATTAGATTGAAACACAATTGTTATTTAATAATTTAATTTAGAAATGGAAAATCTAGACTTTGTAGCAATGACGGTAGCAGTTAAAGTTGAGATTACACTATATCTAACTCTTTAACCCTTGGACTGCCTGAAACCCCTCTAGCTGTCTGAGTATGTGAATATTTGTGAACTAGTTCAGGGCTGTAAACTAGTTGGTACAGGGAGCACAGTTTATGTTTTGAAAATGACATAGAAAACACATTGTAAAAAGAATCACTTTTCTTTTAATTTTTTTCAGTGAACCTGCACAAGCCAATATTTACATTTACCGGGTGCTAACACTGCTAAAAGATTAAGATACTGTCTACACAACACATTATATATTAACCAAGTTCTCAACGAATAAGATACTATCTAAATTTAGCTTCATGTTGTATTGAGATTTTCATCAGTGTAAATATTTGAACATACATTTTTTTCATATTGATATATCCTAATAATCCGTTACTGGAAGTGGGTGGGGTGGGGGTGTTGGGAGTGGATGCAAATTGTTTTTATCAAATGTACAAATATCCACAGCTGGAATTACTATGTTCGCATTTCACATTTGTTGGTCACTATTGACAGAAATAGTGATGCATTCAAATGTTTGATTGGATGTCGGTGGGGTGGTGGAGTAGATATACATTAATCTTATGAAATGTACAGACATCCACGAATCTTAAATTAGTATGGTTGCTTTTAATCAGGAAAAATTAAAATCTAGCAGAAATTATAATCTGTCAATTACACATGCAAATTGACAAAATTATTTAGCAATTTCTACTAGTTTTCATACATATACATTTGTATATGCTCTGTAATTTGTAAAGCCGACGTGAGCACTTCGCCGTGAAAGTTCTATGCTAGAAAAAATGTACAATGATAATATGTCAATTCAAATCCCCTAATATTTTTTGATGTGTGGATACCTTGAATATTATTTCCTTTTTACCGATTTATGCCATAATTTTTATAAGCCCACTTTTTCATGTGGACGTATATTGTTGTCGCCCCTGTCTGTTCGTCTGCAATTTATTTGTTTGTCGACACTCTACAAGTCACAATATTTTTCTGATTTAGACGAAACTTGAAATATAAGTCTATCTCCCAAAGATCTCGGTTCCTTTCGATATTAGCATGTATCAGACCATAACTTCATGGATTACGAAAAAACACGTTTTTACCTTGTGGACACATATCTTTCAATGTATATTCCAAAAATCTCAGTTCCTTTTGATATTTGCACATTTCAGACCATAACTTTCTGGATTATGGGCCTGATTAAACAAAAAATCGTTTTGTTTTTAGCTTGTTCTCTATCCATCTCTTGCAAAATATGGGCGTATCCTACCTGGCAGCCACTGGTTTTCATATTGATATATACTAATGATTTGTTATTGGAAGTGGGTTGGGTGGGGGCGGATTCAAATAATATTTACCAAATGTACAGTCATCCACACATCTTGAAATACTATGTTTGCTTTCGACATTGTTGGTCACTTTTGACAAAAACACAAATTATAACTTGTCAATTAAAATTCCAAATAAATAAATTTATTGGCAATACCGGTAATATTGGTATAGCTTTGTTTTCAATTGTGGAAGTATTTATACATTTGTACAGATATATTATATGTATCCATAGATATATATTGGCATCATTTGATTTTGTAGATTGAAATATGAATACGTCAACATTTATTGTCATTTTATAGATTTATGATGTCATAATATTTTTTCTCTATGCAACTTTGTTTTTGGTGTGGAAATACCATAATACGATGGCTGGCTGTTAAGTTCTAAGGATATTAAATTGGCTTGAAACACGCTTTTACTACCACCAAGTGCAATCATTGAATGAATCATAGACATAAGAACTGCAACTGTAGTTTATTAATGTCTTCGTATCAGACCATCTTGTGAACCTACCCATTGAAATCACCAGAAATTGGCAAATCTGGCTACAGGGCAGTCATCAAGTACCTGCAACTGAAAGGACTAACTCCAACATAAATATATGCTGACATGGTCTCCAGTTTAGGGAATGATGCACCTTCGTTTTCCACACTAAAGAAGATGCTGAAGAATGTAAGCGTGGTAAAGAGAGCCTTGACGATGGCCTGTTTCCTGGAAGGCCATGTACAGAAACCATTCAAGAAAACATTACCATGGTGCATGACGATTGGCCACACGACATGTTGCCACTGTTATGGGTATTTCTCATGAGAGGGTTGAGCGCATCATCGCCAATGAGTTATGAATGAAAAAGATTTCTGCATGACTTGTATCAAAGCTCTTGACTTCAAATCACAAATTTGTCAGATTCTTAACATGCAGTGACAATCTGTGCTGTTTTGAACATATCCTCATAATTTATTAGCCAGATTTTTAACCATAGAGGAGACCTAGATTCATAATTTCAACCAGAATCCTAAATTCAGTCAAAACAATGAGAGCATCCAGAGTCGCAAGCCCGCAGACAAGCCAGGCCCATTCCTTCTGCTGGAAAGGTGATGAGTTCTGTTGTTTAGGATTCCGAGGGTATTCTGCTGATTGACTATCTTGAAAAAGGCCAGACTATGAATGGAAGATACTATAAAGGTGTCCTGCTCCTGATCATAAACCGGTGATATCCATATCAGTGATACAGGATTGTGATTTCAAACTTCATGATTTTCCTTCTAATGATGATGTCATGTCAGCTGTGAATGACCTTTTTTAGGGTTACTGAAGATAATTTGTTCGTGACCAGCAACCGGTCTTGTAATATTGTTAACAAAACAGTGTACATCTGAAAGGGGACTGTAGAAAAATAAATTGAAACAATCGTCTTTATACCAGTCTTTCACAGATAGGCTTAGAGCTATATTTATTGAAATTGAATAGATTTGGTTTGATACACGATGTTATAATTATTCATGTATTATTTGTATTCTAATTTAAAACTTATTCAAAAAATCAATGTTTTTAAGAATTATTAAACAATAACACGCAAAGATTTTTAAAGATTTGTGAATATTTATTCATCCATGTCGTTATTAATTACTGTGTACTTTTACAATCGTTTCTATGTTGTTCCTATTGCCATATTTTTGTTTTTTCATTTATATGGGGGGGTTGGATGGCTGAATGGTTAGCGTGCGCGCTCTGTATCATAAAGTCTGTCATTGAGTCGACTGGCGTGGTTTCGAATCCCCGGTTGTACGTGACAAGGAGTAGGGTCGCCTGTCCAACCTCGTGGGTTTTCTCCAGGTCCTCTGGTTTCCTCCCACAGCTAAATACCCCTACGCGCAAGCGAATTAATGAAATAAAATTAAACCATATGTTAGTAACGAAATGACCTAGTTTGTGTCGAGTGGACGTTAAACCCCATTTCTCTCTCTCTTTTCATTTATATGTGTGCTCTATAATGATTTGCAGTGCAGAACCCGATGATAAAAAAATAAGTAGAAATGTGTAATGCTCCTTTGCTTTGTCACCAAATTATTTGTTTAAGAGGTGAAGAGATAATGTTAATGAATACTTTACTATTTATGAAGAACTTTATGATTTATACATACTTTATTTTTATATCTTTGTAGTAACATACCAAGATAGTCATATTGTATTCTAGATGAATACTATTATAAATAAAATAAAAGGGGATTTACAGTCATTGTTTTTCTAAGGCGAGCAATCGCTCTCAAGCGCCTGCTGTTCACCTGAATGTCGACCGATGGGAGCTTTTTCTCCCTTTCCTTAAAATTGAAAATCGCTCTCCTTTACAAAGTCATGGAGGGGTAGTGGAGGGTATTATCATTTATAAATGACCCGCTAACATGCAGTTATTGATCTTCAGAATCATTCCCACACACACAACTAATCACTCTCCTTGATATCAGATCACTCTCCTTAATTTCTAAACCACTCTTCTTATCGAAACTGGGAGAGCTTATTTAGGGGAGCGATTTTTTCAATTTGTTTATTAAGGGGAACTTTTTTCGGCTCTCCTCTAAAATACAAACAACCACGACTGGATTTAACAATAGACTGTTTTGCATAAAAAATACCATAATAACAACAGTATAAAATGTTGCTATGAAATTAAATTAATGTTGTATACAATAATTAACCTGTTTAATACTAATAACAAGTGAGTGAAATTCAGTGTTTACCATTGTTTTGTAAATTAATTGTATTAAATTGTAGAAAGTTAGTTGTATAAATTTACGTGGTACATGCCCTGGTATTATCTATTAGATAAGACAGCATTTTATGATACACTTTGAAAGAACAATCTGAGAGATGTAAACAAAATGCACTAATGTAAACTATAAAAAGTAATTAACTTGGTTAATACTACATGTATATTATAAATAGAAAGTGAATCAATTTCACCCAATTAAATGTACTTTATATTAACAATGTTCAATGTCCATCAATTGTATTAAAATGCAAATAGTATGTTGCATGAAGATACATTATTTCTCTATAACCCAATATACAAAACCTATTTCTAAATAATCTAAGATAACTTTATAGATCAACTGGGTACAAGAACGTTGTAAAATATTGTGAATACAATTGTTGTACTGTTACTCTTACTGTAAAGAAATTATGGTTGTATTATTTGATAATAAAAATACACATAATCATGTACATTTCTGAAGTTGAGAGCAATTTATTATCTGTATGAATAACTCAATCCAAATATTTTTTTATATGTATAAGTTGATTTATACTGA